TGGGCCACAGCTGCCAGCGCCCCGCCAGCTCCAGCGCACGATGCTGCACCCGCAGAGGCTGGCGGTTGAAGGTGAAATTCACTTTGAAGGTCAGCCCGTCCACAAAGCGGCTCAGGAGGCTTTAGGAAGTGAGAGACAGGAAGAGCTCCAGTTGGGGCGGGGGGCGGGTTGTGGGCGATAAAAGGCCAGGACTCTCCACCGCCCTAGCTCCACTCCCGCCTTCAAGAGCTCCATGCAATCCCTCCAAGAAAAGAAGCTGCCGAAGTATGTCAGAGTCCCCCTGAAGAAGAGCCTCCTGCCCTGGCCCTGTGGTCCCAGCTCATCTCGGGGAGAAGCACCCCTCCTCCCCTAGCCTCACAGAGATGTCTGTAGACCCTTCAAGCAGCTCAGGGTTTCCCCAACACCCACCTTGGGGAAAAGCTCAGCTTGACACGGTCCAATTCCACCCTGTGCACAAAGCCCTTGTAGGTGACAGCGTCATTCTGGTGTGTCTCAGAGGACAACAAGGCAAACAGGTGGTCTCCCCGGAGCACTGAGGGGCGGCTCTCTGCCACCCCGGGAACCTATGGGGTATGAACACAAGCAAGCTTCTATCCCAGGGGGGCCCACTGGAGGGCCCAACTCCCAGGCCCTCCAGGCCTCCTCTGAGGCTCTATGTTTCTACCCCAAGACCCTGGCGGTTTTGCCTCTTTCCACTCTCCCAGGAGACAGTGCAAGAGTCAGGGTATGAGGGAGGAGAGAAGTCTGTCCAAGCTGCTCAGAGCTGCTGGGCACAGGTGCCCCGAAAAGTCTTCAACACATGATCTCAGGACTTGGGAGCCAGCTTTCCAGCCCGCCTTGCTGCTCTCTTGGCCAGCTTAGTTTCTACTCTGCCTTTAAAACCTCCTTCAAACTCAGTTCCTGCAGGAATCTCCCTGAACATTCTCACCGGGTCCCTTCCTCAGCACGTGTGCGCCAGAATCCATTCTCGTGTCATTCTGGGCTTCTGTGGACACATTCAACATCTGAGAGCTGGAAAAGGCTCTAAGAATGAACTAGTCTAGCTCTGCACTTCTCAGGTGAGGGAATGAGGCCTAGAGAGAACCAGTGACTTGCACAAGACCACAGAGCTGGTGGCAGCAAAGTCTGGACTACAACCCGGGTCCTCCCCACTGCCCCGCTCGGACTCTCTCTGGGTGCAGGATGCCCCACTCCGCCTCTTGCTGAGCCCTCTGGGGAACAGCTTCGTCTTCTCGTTTTGTCCCACCAACATGAACAGCGTTCTGCTTATAACCTGTGGGTTGGCTAACTTGAGATCACCTCCCCAAACCCGATCCAAGCCCCAACCTCCAGCGTGAGCAGCCTGGGGTTCTGGTCTTTGGGGTCCCAGGTCATGGGCACCGACTCCAGGTCATAGTGCCGGATGTCATGCTCCATCTGCAGCTCTTCCAGATGCAGCAGCAGCCGGAACTTCACCTCGTAGTTCCTCGACTTTAGGGCTGTCTCCAGCTGGGCCCTGGCGGTGATAGTTGGGGGGTGGGAGGGAGGGGGCAGGAAGAGGAGGGGTCAGGAAACCACCCCCCTCATCGGCCAGGAACATCCAACCTCTCCTATCCACAGCTCAGAAACTATGAAAACATCGGGAATCAGAGAAGACCAGAAGGGCAGAGAAGTGAACAGGGGTCAGAACTCCTGCCCCCCACCTCAGACCCAAGTTGGCATTTGTACTGTGGATCCCAGCGCCTGGAATGTTCTCCTCCCACGATCCTCCTGTGACTCCCACCATCACCTCATTCACATATCATTCTCTGTCCAAATGCCACCCCTATGAGACCAGGACCAGCTGCTCTCTGCAGAACCGCACAATCCGTCCCCTTCCCCTGCTTTGATTTTAGCTGAGCTTTAGTTTAGTTCTTCGCAGCACTCGCCACTCCATGAAATTATAACAGGTTTTAAGACAAATGCTCACTTCCCCCCGACTAGAACGGGCAAGGCGCTCAGGTGACTGATTCACCCTGAACAGTGCCGGGTATCCAGTGCATGCTGGATAAGGGAATGAATGAACGGAGCGGGGGAGGCAGAGGGCACTGGTGTGGGGCGTGGGAAGAAGCCAGCAGGGAAGAGACATGGAAAGTACCAGGGGTGTAGAGGGGTGGCACTTACTTGATTTTAGCAATGTCCTTTGGGGCAGTGAAGACGCTTGTTCCCTGAAGTTTGGGGAGCAGCTGCCGGAGGCTGGGGGGTGGGTTATACATCTCCAACTTCATACTTAGCTCCAGGTCATAGCCCTTCGTACTGCAGGAGTCGGGGAAGACAAGCAATCAGTAACACGGAGCCCCCTCGCTTCAGAGACTTGGAGAGGGACCCTCCCTGGAGGCAAGAGTCCTACACAGCACCACTGCTGACAGGGGCCAGCAGCCTTTGCCCAAGGAAGCAGAACTCACTATCTTACGAGGGTGCTCACCCCAAGGTTGGACCATTCATTCTCAGTTCTGAAAAGTGCGATACATTCAAAGATACAAATGTAACACATATACGTGTACATAACAATGTGTCCATTAGAGAAAAATTGGAAAATAGGTATAAATCAGTGAGTAAATAAACAACATTTTCACCATCCGGGGATAATCAATGTTAACTTTTTGGTGGGTAGTCCTCCAGACTTTTCTCTTTGTTAATTTGTACTATACACATATTTTTAATGAAAAAACAGCGATCTACGGTTTGCTTTTATAGCTCGATATCTTGTGAATACCTAGCCACGTCAGAAAGAGATGTCTGCAAAAATTCTATGATTGCATTCATATGAGACAGAAAGCAGATGAGTGTTGGCTTAGGGCTGGGAGGAAATGGGCAGTGAAAGGGAGTGACCGCTGAAGGGGGTGGGTTCCTTTCGGGGGTAACGAAACGCCCTAAAACAGCGGCGACGGCTGCACAAGCTGGGAATATACTAAAGACCACTGACTTGTACACTTTAAATGGTGAACTGCATGGGGTGCGAATTGTCTCAATAAAGCTGTTAACAGACAGTTGTCTATGCTGCGCTGCCTCTTCGACATCATACAGTTGAAAAGACTTCAAATTTTGCGTGTTATCTGCATCTTTCTTCCCAGGTAGAAAAGGTCTCTGAGACCTGGAGGAGTTAAGAACTCACAGTTTCTAAGAAAGGGGGTTCTGCTCTCAGCTCTGTGCTCCTCCCCCACAGGTCTACTCTGTCGAGTCAGGGCACCCCCAGCCCGGCTGGCGCGGGGGCAGAGTTACCAGTCAGGTCTCTCTCCTTCCTCTATCCGGGTGGTCACTACAGGCTTTCCAGTGATCGGGATCCGCTTGTATGGCTTCGTGGGCTTCAGCTGTGCTGCCAGAGGACTGTGGGCGACGGCCGCCAAGAAGCGGGTAATGTAGAAAGTGCCAGTTTCTTCGGAACTGGGCTCCCCAGGTCCCAGCAGCTCCCAGAGCACCGTGGCTGGGAAGTAGCCCACAAAAGTGGTCCGACAGTGGACGTGGAGGTCGTAGCTCTCACCTGGGGGACAGGGACTGAGTGAGTGGGGGTGGTGTGGGCGAGTGGTTCCCCGCCAGCATCCCTGCCCTGGACACTCGCCCAGCGAGCCCATCCCAAGGCGGGGCCCACGGGACAGCAACAGCATGGTTCCCGGAGCACCAGCCCTTCCTTCCGCAAGCTCTTGTCCACCAGAGGCTCTTCCTTTGGAAACCCCCTCACCAGGGCCCAGTGGACAGGGCAGCTCCTGTTTTTCATCGTAGAAGGCAAACTGGGGGGTCCGGCAGAGTGGGAAGAGATGGGTGAGGGTGACAGTCTCCGTTCCTCCATTGCGAAGCCTCAGGGTCAGCACCTCCTTGCGGTTCAAATCCAGGCGAATAAGGAGCTGCCCATCCCGGGCTTCATGGGGCCCCTGGACTTCCACGTCCACACCATGTTTTCCGTGAAGATACTCAGCCCTGGGCAGAGTGGGAATCAAAGTGGGGGCTGGGGTGAGGGGCGCCTGGGCTAGGGGTTGCCGTCCGTTAAGGTCTAGGCTGGGGAGGCTGGCTAAGTGGCAGCTGTGCTCAGGGGACCCACCCCTCCCCCAGAACAACCAGCCCCTAATCCACCCCCACCGAGCCCCCCTTCAAGGAAGGGTTCTCACCCCAACCAGAGGCAAATCGCTTTCCCCAGCCAGACAGCGTCCCGCACGCGCCGGCCCCCACTCGCACACACCTGTCGTGATAGATCTTGGCTAGCAGTGACTTGTGGTGTGTGCTGATATCGGACCCCAGCCTCATTTTCCTCTTCTCTGGCAATGACACGTCGGCCCAGCAGTCGAGTTTGAAGAACCTGACCTGAGTCTTGGTGACGAAGGCCAGATTTGCAATCTTCATCCCGTACAGCATGGAGGAGAAGCCAGGGTTGGGGGTCCCAGAGCTGCTGGAAGCAGAGGAGACTGGGAAGTGAGGCGGGGCAGGGCCAGGGGGACGCAGGCGGCCTGCCGGGGAGGGCGTCTGCGGGTCGCTCTGCGCCGGACACACCAGCCCTGCCGCGGTACGGGACAGGGCCCAAGGACAGCCTCAGGCTGGGGATCCTAGGAATTTTAAATGTTTTAAGGAAAGGCAATGGGACCTCCCATGTTTTAAACAGCAGGTCGTGGACGTGCATTTCTGAGGAGAAAAGTCCAGTCGTGGGATGTCGATTTGGAGGACGAAGAGGGAGAAAGAAATGAAGATTTGCGGGGAAAACTACTTGGGACAGAAAAACATACAAACGACCCAGTGGGAAGGGCTAAGTTTAAGGGAAAGTGAGTAAGTTGATTCGAAGGGTGGATCTAGGGTCCAGGCTGATGGGGGAGCGAGAGGGGTCAGCCAGAGAGAACAGATGTCCAGGCTGTGTAGGGGAGGTGGCTGATCAGACAGCAGTTTCCACCCAGAGCCAGAGGGTGCAGGCGGGACCCATGCAGGAAGGGAAAGGAGCCTTCTCCCGAGATCAAAGGGCTTGGCTTTGTGCCTAGAGAAGGTGAAGACAGGGAAAACTGGTCAGAAGGACAAGGACGTCAACGTTCCGCGCCTGTAACTCAGTTTAGTCAACTCAACAAACACTTACGGAGACCTGTTATGTGCCAGACACTGCGCTAGATGCTGGGGGTTCAAAATGGCAGGAGCCCCAGAACTGCTGTGAGGAGCAGGAGCAGGCACTGAGCGCATTAACCCCTGCCGGCTGCTGCCAGGAGTGGCGGGAGGGGCTTCCAGGGCAGCATCGCGCCCAGCCTGGGGACAGGTACGGGGCTTTCCCAGGAGCCCGCATCAGAACTGGGCACTGAAGGATGAATGGGAGTCGACAGGTATGACGTGAGTGCTAGGTGTGAGCCAGGTGGAGGGACTGGGGGACCACCCGCTCTGCAACTAGCTGGGTCCCTTTGGGTTATTTCACCTCTCAGAGCCTCGCTTTCCTCCTCTATAAAATGATAATGACGACACACTTCACGGGGCTGTGAGGATTACGAGAGATGGACGCACTGCAGTGAACAGCTTAACCCAGTGCTTGGCACATAAGGAGACCTCAGTAAGGTGACCCACGGTTAGTGTCAGACAGTGTGGTTGTACTAGAGTGAAAAGTGCGAGGGAGGCAGCAGAGGTGGGCAGGGACCAGGTCACGCATACTGTGTACGCCGGGCCATGAAGCCTGGACTCGACTCTGAAGGCCAGCAGTCCTCCTCCTTTACCGGTACCCAGGAGCCACTGAACATCCCTCCCATGTGACATACTTCATGGACATATTTGAGATCTGGACAGCTGACCACCCTCCCTCGATGCTTTATAGGGAATGAAAGCAAACCCTAGTTAATAGGGACCGTGGTGGTCACAATTTAACTATTAAGGCTAAGTCAAGCATGGGCACTCATTAGCATGTGGTAAGATAATTTACAGATGGAGACACTTCTCTGGTGCCCTGCCCCCTGCCTATAACTCTGCTCCTTTCCTTCACCTCAAACAAATGAGAATGACACTATTCACAAAACTTTGAACGGGCTCTGATCTGTTTTAAAAAGATAATGAATCATTCCAACACACAATAGAAAATGCTCAGTAAATGTTAACTACTATTATTAGTATTCGTATTAGTAGGAATAGTGGTACTAATAGTAGTAGCAGTAGGAAGAGTAGTGTAACAACTTACTTTCGGCCTGCATCAGAGGGCTACACTGTGGTTACAGAACCACCTCGTTGGTGGGTTTTAAGCAGGGGAGTGGCAAGATCATATTTGCATTTCAGATCACTCTGGCATCAGGATTGGAGCATGGATATGCTGGAGGCAAGACTGTAGGCAGGGAGACCAGTTAGAAGAAGGCCATTGTAATTGTCCAGTTAAAAGATGACGAGAGCCAGAACAAGGCAGTGGTAAGGATAGAAGAGAGGCCAGATCTAATATGTCGAATGTAAAATCAGCAGGATTTGGTGATGGACAGGAGGAAGAATGGAGACTGGGAAGAAGGAAGAGTCTAGGACAATACCCAAATCAGTGGCTTGGCTTTGAGGACTACTCCTGAGATAGGAGAAAAGGACAGGAGGAAGAGGAGGAGGGGCGGGGACTGACCATGACGTTAGGATTTGGACATACTCAGTTTGAGATTCCTGTGATCCAGAGGCAGCTGGCTCCATGAGTCAGAAGCTGAGAACTCAGTCCAAAATCAAAGCAGACGCTCATATTAGGGAGCAGTTACAATCTCAGGTAGTAGTTACAACAATAGGTGTATTTAGGGAGGAGGCAACAGAACTAAATGTTAAATCAAGCTGCATTCAGAGACTGCAATGTGCTGATAGGACCTAAGACCAGAACACGAAGAAACCTACAGGAAAAAGGAAGATTTCTGCTGGTATTGCTACAAAACCATTTACCTATACCACGAAGGGAAAACGGGAAAGCCCTAAATAAAACAATCATTCATTCTCTACAGGATAAGATCATGGGGGAACCTATGGATCAAAGGCTAGGAATTGCCAACAGGCCTTTCACACTGCATACTCATACCATCAAAAGAAAATGGGTAAACAAAGTCTTCAAACTGTAATTCATAGAAACTAGGAATGATACATAAACTCAATTCTCCCAACACTCAGGTCCCTCTCACTCACTCTTTGTCCCTGAGTGAAGACCATGCTCTTGTCTATGGAGTGTTACCACTTCTCTAATTAATAAACTTCCTTTTTGATTGTAACTCTGACAGTGCTATCAGAAGTGTTTGGGACCTCCCCAGAAATGTGAGTAGTCTGAAAAAAACCAGCTGAAGCCGGGACAACCCAGAGACAAGAAATCAGAGAAGAATCCCCCAAGAAAGGGAAGAGTATCACGAGAGGAAGTCTCAAAATCAGGTATGAGGCTGAGGGGTCCAGTCATAAAGGCACCAAAATCACGATGTCATCAGTAACTTTCACCGGGGCCCCTTGGTGATTCAATCACTACATTCTATGCATCAGGCACAAACTCAAATGCAGACAAAGGCCAAGCTGCACAGGTATCTTTGATACCTGCAGCTGGCCCTCTCGGGCACTTGTTTGGTCCCATTGTTGAGTCATGAGTGTGAGGACTACATCTCAATGTTCCTCATCTCCAGACAGATGTTGCCGGCAGAGAATGTAGGCCCAAGACGGCCAGATCTTCTGACTTAAGAGAAGCCCAGATAAAATTTCAATGTGAAATTGCCTATTTTTGGAAACTAATGTGTGGGCACACAGGCAGGAAGTACTCAAATATGCAAGTTTTGCAACTTCTACTGTGGATGCTACCACCTAAGTATTTCTCAAATTGTTCTTCATGTGTAATATCACCACCCAAATTCACCTATCCCTGGTCTAAGGTGACAGCCATACAAAGTTTTCTTTCTTTTTTTTAAATCACAAACTTAGCACATACTGATTGGGAAAAAAAGGCCCAATTATATATCTACTCACCTAGATTTCTAGGGAAAAAAAAAAAAAACAAAAAACCAGATGAATAATTCAATAGAAAAACAGAATATTCAACTTAAAGAACAAATCCAGATCA